CAGGTTTGCATGCAGGTTTGTCAGTTCTGCTTTTCTGACATCCCCCAGCTTGGCCATCTTGTTCAGAGGCCATTCTGTTTCGTGGCACAAAGCTTGTATGCAGTGTTCTTGAGCTATTCTTGGAGATACGATTTCTTTATTGTTTTGCTTTTTAATGAGGTGCAAATGCAACACAAGCTAAGAAGTAATAGTAAAGAAGATCTGCCACATTGCTAGTTTTAAACCCTGTATTCCTATTAATACAAGGGTTTAATGTAGGTAATATGGCGGTATCAGCACTGTCGGTGTTACAAACGCTCTGAATCCCGGGGCATTCCTAAAATGCAACCCCATTCCCCTGTATGGCTCTTGTAGAGAGTCTTCATGAAGGCAGGGCACAGGCTGCTCCTGGTGGGACCCACCCGGGGCCTGGGCACGCACGGATGGGCTAGCTGGAGCCTCAGGGCTCAGGGGCTTGGGGTTTAGTAGAGTTTAAAGGTTCCCTAAGCACCAGAGGCACTGTGGGTTTCTCTGCTTCCTCCCATCAAAGCTTCCAGGGTTGTTTCTGGGCTGGAGAGCAGTGAGCTTTCTGGGAGGGGTGTAGAGGGGCTTTCAAACAGTAGAACTTTCTACTCTCTTGGAACCAAAGGAATTGACAAGTCTTGTTCACATAAACTCACGTTAATAATTTTCTGATGTAGTTCTTGGGCATGAAAATGTCTTCATGCTGACGACCTAAGTCAGTATATGTAGAAAATATATGTATGTTCAGAAAAATATCTTGAATTTTGAAGGTATTCTTAATAGATGTATGTAATATTTCTACCATATGTTCTGAGTTATCTCTCCTTGCAACCTCACAGTTAATTACTGTTTGGTTCCTAAGGCTTTAATTTACAAACTGAAAAGACTATTAAAAAATCAACTAAAAAAATATTTATAGAAAAAAGATGTCTATGGCTGTATGCCTTACTACTGAAACAATGGATAATGCTTCATTAGCAATTTTATCTGTGAGGGTTTCATTTCATGGGCATGGATTTAGTCCTTGCAAATGCTTATACGGGCTCACTGAACATAAAATTTCAGCTTTTGACTTAAGAACTGCAAGTTCGCATCTGTTTCAGTTTCTTAGTGTCAAAGCATAGATGTATCCTTGCCTAGGGGATAATAGCAAACCAGATTACTACATGTATGATGCACTTAATAAAAAAGACAATTGTGAGATGAGTGATTTTAAACTTCTAACATCTGTCCTAATGAAAAAAGTTCTTCTACAGGGCCTAAAATGTATTGCAGCATTGTGTCTTGTTAGAACATTGTTAGAAACTGTATTATCTTTGTGAACTTGCAGTTATTTTTATAGTAAATAATTCAAATACTACATAATTTAATAAACTAAATAATTATAAAGCCATTATGGTTTATTCAACAAAAAAATAGGGACAAAATTAGCCATTTTGTTTTTACTAGGTAGCTTGACCCCAGAATTCTCTTGTGTGAGGCTAATGGCATAGGTGGGTCTTTAGGCTCTGAAGGATTCCCTTTTCGGCCAACCCAGCCCGCGAAGCCAGCAAGTCAATAAACGATACTATGGAAAAGCCAAGAGCTCTACTCTTATCACATGTAGGTACATGCTGTGTCAGTGGAATGGCAGAGTAATTATTCTAGTGAATACTGATGAGTTGTTGTGCAATGGCAGGTTAATGGTACCGTTTTCCCAGCCTGTAAGGAGAAGCTGAGTTTTAGGAAATGTCTTGAAAGCTCTGCAAGGGCGAGCAGCATGGAGGGAAGGGTGGAAGGGGAGGAGACCGCGAATTCTGGAGTTCTTGTTGTCATGCAGAGAATAGGGAGAATAAAAACCATGAGCTCCTATACTTCAAATTATACTTAACTTTTGAGGCTGTACGCAATTCGGATAGCACGCGGTTCTCTCCGTGACTCCTGCCCAAAGGAGTGCCCTCCTGCCCGTTTCCAACTTCTGTTAAAGTCATTGCATGTGGACTAGTTCTTAGATCAGACGCAGAGAAAATGGGTTTCTTGCGAGACGAATCTTTTTCGTTTTCTCCAGTCCTTTTCCCGTGCTGGGTTCCTGTTTTCGTCACCTTCGTTCCACGAGGTGGCACTGTCTCTTCTAGGAAGGACACCAACGCTTCAGCTTCCCCTCTGGGCAGATGCTGCCCCCCTGCCTGGGGTGGGCAGGGTTCAGCGGGGCTGTGCAGCGTAACCCAGTTAACAGAGTTTTCTGAAAATGTCTGTACTTTTCCGTTAGTATATACCCCGTCTTTTTTGATACGAGTTACATCCATGTTCATACGCACAAAATACACAAATTTTTGGTCAAGTAGTGTGATCTTAGAAAAACAGCTTCTTGAACTTCTTGCCCACTTTTTTTTTTGTTTGTTTGTAGAAGGTTTCTTGCATTCAGAGGAATCTTTTTATGGTGTGGAAGTAAAAGCAGGTGATGCTGATCCTAGAATACTAGTCTACTTCATTTTGAGTCAGAATTGTGTGACTTTTGAACATGGGAAAGAATGGCCAGTAGCTATCATTATTTCTGAGAGGGAAGGGAGTAATTTCTATAGGATTTGCTAAATCCACGAAAGCTTTTTTTCCTGCAAGCTATACAAAAAAAAGGTGTCCAGATTCAGGAAATCAAGAACTGTAATGACAACTTCCCTGTAAAAATACAAGCCAAATCTGTCTTGTATAGAAAGGGAACAGTGTTGCTGCTGTTCCTGAATTCTCTCTGGAGACATGTTATTTCCAATCTGCCTCTCACTGGTTTAAGAGCTTCTAAGTAGAGGGAATATGTTTTGTCTTGTTAGGAGGTTTTCCTAGTTAGCTGTTAGACAAAGTCTGCAGTGTTGATGGAGGTTGTTTTACCTCAGAAGAGTATGCTGTTATTAAAAGCATTCAACGTTGAAAAGGGTTAACATAATTAATTTTTTTTTTTCCTCTGGTTGATGTCTAGAAAAATGGATGATGATGATGATGACATTCCCCAGCTTTCATCCCATACGTTGGCTGCCCTCCAGGAGTTCTATTTGGAACAGCAGCAGAGAGAGGGCATGAAGACCTCCCAAGGGTTTAATCAATATTCCATTGGCTCAATAGAAGAAGACTGGGTAAGAAACGAAACTTCAGTGAATGAAGCACAGTTACAGGAGTAGTCTTTACCGGGTTTCTTTTGTGGATGGATAATGAAATTCAATTAAAAAGGGGAACACTCAAGATGTTCCTAGAGTGGCAAAACCAAACTAGTCACGGACAGTAACACTGTAGGGATATTTGCTTTAATATTAAATCTGGGTATAGTTGTCTGTTCTACATGTGCTTGGGGGGTACAAAGTGAAATTACCTGAAGAGAGGGAATAAAGCTGCCAACAGAAGCATCTGTCCCTTCTGGAAATTTTAACTCCAGCCTGGCAGGTGAAGGTAGTGAAGATTCTTCCCTGAGTTTGAGACAAGCAGTGTAACAAGATGAAGTGATCTTTCATTTTACATCATCTTTCTTTCTGTGTTTTATTTCTTCAGTTTTGTGATGGCTGCCTTGCTTTTTTTCTTCTGACCAGCTGTTTTTTTATTTGTCTCTGGGTTGGGTTTTGTTTGTTTGTTTTTTCCTCTTTCTGATCTCTTCTGGTTTAGTACTTTTATCCTTTATTTCCTTCTATGCTGTTCACATTTCAAGTTCCTTTTTCCTCTTCTGCCAAAGTAACTCAACTTAAGAGCACATAAATATTGTGCATCTGCACTTTGGGTTTGAACTAATCTTGTCAGTGATTTTGCATTACTAGGTTTTCCTGATACTGCAGTAAATGCTTTGGAAACACAAATGTTTCCAAAGCTGCCTGCTACTTGTCACTGAATTACAGATGTAAAAAGGCTGTCAGGAAAGCAGTCAGCTTTCCAGCTGTACCGTTTGTGAACTGAGGAGTTGCTATGGATTTTGGTTTCCTTCAAATATGACTCACCACACCTAACTGTACATGGCGCAGTCAGAAGATTCGATGTTGTTTGTAATTGTGCATTATTTTTCTCAGCAACTGAGCCAGTTTTGGTACAGTGATGAAACTGCATCGTGCCTGGCTAACGAAGCAGTTGTGGCAGCTGGAAAAGGTGGCAGGTAGGCGTTAATTATTACATTGTAGATTTAACATGTCCTTTCTGTAAATACTTTGTTTCTACTGTGTAGACTGAGCATGCAGTTTAAATCATTACTCATTGTACTCCATCTTTGTTCGAGATATTGCAGAAATGCTTTACTGTCCTTTAATTAATAATTCATACTGACCATTTAGCATTTCATTGAATGTTGTAGGCTTTGCTTGTAAAAGTTTACTATGAATCTTTTTATTTTTTGAGAAATACAAAGTGGTCCAGAGCAGATTCTTTTTTCATACAATGTTTCTGTAGAACAGATGGAAAGACATGGTTGTCTTCCTATTCTGTAAGGAGTTGTTTTTAATTGTAAGTTTTCAAGTATATTTCCTTGCTGTTCTGAAACAAGATTTTCTCTGGAGTTAAGCTTAAGCTCGTTGTGCAGCATGGAGGTTGAACAGGTAATGGCTTTAATACTTAGAACTCTGTTATTTAAGTAATTATTGGTTAAAATGCAGGAAGAATAGCTTACATTTTTGGGACTAATGTTTAAAATGTTTTCCCAGAGCAGCCCTGAGGACTGCTGCAGGGTTTTGTTGTTGTCATTGTTTGCCTTTTAAATTAATATTCTAAGTTATTGTCTCTTTTTCAGGATAGCATGTGTTAGTGCACCAAGTGTGTACCAGAAACTGAAAGAACAGGATGGTAAAGATTTTTCAGTGTATATACTGGAGTACGACAGAAGGTTTTCTGTATATGGAGAGGAATTTATCTTCTATGATTACAACCACCCTTTGAACTTACCTGAAAATCTCCTGCCACACAGTTTTGACATCGTAATAGCAGATCCACCCTATCTGTCTGAGGAATGTCTTCAAAAAACTGCAGAGACCATCAAATACTTAACAAAAGGAAAGATTCTGCTTTGCACAGGTATAACTAATTAAAATATTAGGTCACCATTAAGCATCTTTTTCTCTCTCTCAAAAGACAAACTTACTCAAGTGAGATAAATACTAACTCAGTAATACTAATTTATCGTTAATTCAAGGAGGAATATGTATCCTAAGCTTTTTATTGTAATACTTTTGTTCAACCTTTATTGTAAACTAAAGGCATGGGGGTTTTAATAGTTAAATGCAGTACTGTTTTCATATGGCATTACAAGTTTTACTAATTTTTTGAGGAATTTTAAGATCATCCTGCAAAGTTCCAGATTCTTTTTTTTTTTTTTCTTGTAAAAAGGTCACTCTATAATCGCAATGAGTGAATTCTGGTTATGACAAGCATAGGTGCAACTTATGGTTAATGTCTTACTGAATTACTTTACGAATTTGTGATTTTCTAAACATGTCAGTAGCTTCAGGATTTCAGCTGCTACATACTACTTAGCATCTAAGGTGAGCTAAGTAGAAAGAATGACAAATAGGTTGGAATGGCCTTTACTCAGTGAAGTGGGATGATTTTAGCTAAGTCTTGAAAAGAAAAACAAAAGTCAACTTTTTTTTTTTTCTCATATTACCTCTCCTTACTGGCAACCGTAGAAATTGTAATGTGAATGAATGTATGAGGGGATTCTGCCACTTGGATCTCGCCCATCTTAGGCACTGAAATGCAGCAGGAGGAATTAAAAACCAGCGATGAGAGCAGTGAAACTGGAAAAATTACCAACTTTACTTGCAGGTCCTTCTTTATCAAGATGCACTTGCTGGTTTAAGAAGCGATGAGTATCTGCCTTAGTCATGGTGTTTCTTAAACTGTAATCCTATTACAGGACATCTGAAGACATCCAGCAAACTTTTGCAAAAAGGACAAAAACCCTCTGTACATACAATTTGAGGGAATTCAAGCAAGCAGGCAAAATAAAGAAAAAATAATAGATGGCCAAAGAAAGCCTACTTCTTTGTTTAATTGCACATGGCAGTCATGCACAAGCATGGTTCTCAGAATATTTTTCCCTAAAATGGATAGGTGGTCCTTCAGTTTACAAAGGTTGAGAAATACTGCTCAAGGAAGTGATTTCTCATTGTGTAGCTGTAAATATCGTGCTGCGGTTTATTTAAGTGGTAGAGTATATGTAATCTGTTTGCATTTCCCATGGCTCCCTACCATGTAATTTCTTTGGCATGTAGCAAGATTGAGTTTGAGTTTCTGTTTTCTATAAAAGGGGCACTGGTCTTACCCTCTATCTATTTTCATGAAACTGCTTGGACATTCATTTCCTTGGGGTGTCTTCCATTCTTTCAGATTTATATTAAATTTCCTAATAGATTCAGTTGTTAAAGAGGGCTGCAGTGTAGTTGCTTTAAGCCGTGCTTCCTTAAAAATAGCGGGCTCTATAAGTATGCATTTGGGAGGAGCTATTTAAAAAGCCCAAACATTCTGTTCTGTTTTTCTCATCAAATACTAATTATTTTTGCTGCAGGTGCCATCATGGAGGAACAGGCAGCAAAGCATCTTGGTGTGAAGATATGCAAGTTTATTCCAAAACACTCAAGAAACTTAGCCAATGAATTTCGATGTTACGTGAACTATGCTTCTGGACTGAACTGATTCTGATAAGATGATCTACAACTTTTTCAGTCAAGCTCCTTTCTGTTTTTTTTTTTTTTTTTTTTTTTGCCAGAAAATAGAAATATTCAGCTCCAAGTACTGTTTTCTGGACTTGCTTTAATCAACACAGTGTGACAGCCCCTCTCTTTTAAACGTGTAAGCATTTGCAGTTACTGTGCTTTGTATCTTACCTCTTAGGTAAATGGGGACCAAACAATGCAGGTGCTGGATAATGTGAACTTCTCTGTTAAGAGTTTCATTCTAACTGTTATTTTTTTACCATTCAAGGACTCTTCAGTGACCTCTCTGAAGTGATTTTAGCTGGTTGGCTTGTAACAACACATCGGTGCTTGCCTTACAGACATCAGAGTTGTCATTGCATCATAACTGATGACTTGGTAGCTACTGGATGGTTGAAAGAGCATGAACAGTGGTCTCCTTTAATCTGGAGAGATCCTCCCTTAGTAAAATAATTGAGAGATATCTGTTCTGAAATTGTCATGTTTTCAGATTCATTATCCAGCAGGCTGATATTTTTATAAAGGATAACTAGAAGAGACAATATGTCTCCTTCTGGGGAGGCCTTTGCAGTTGCTTTTAATAATAATCAGAACTAGCTACCAGTTGCCAAGTAAGATAAGACCTACTATCCACTATTGTTGCCAAACTGGCTTTTTAAAAATCTGTGGTTATTGTTTCAACTTTTATCTAAAGCCTTGTCACAAACCCAGACTTTCTTTTTGTAAAAGATAAGATCTATTTTGTCATCACTTACCACCATATAAACTTGTGTATGTATGCTGTAGTAGAGAAAAAGTAATGTAAGTTGTTAAACATCTCTCTGCAGAAGTGCGGTACATTTATTTTGTGATGATTATGTGTTAGAGCAACAAAACATCATGAGGTATTTAAAAACCACAAAACTAGGCTCCTCTATTTACTACTTAAGCTAATCTCCAGAGGTCGTATAAACCTGATGTCTCCTTGAAAAAAAGCACAATAAGGATTTCCCCATTAGAGCGAGCTTTACTTCATTAAGAATCCTGTACATTAGTGAGGCAAAATCACCTGAAATACAAAGTAATTACTGAATAAAAATGCAACGCATCAGCCAGTCCTTGCATTACTGCTCCAGACTGTGTTTGTGGGTTCTCACTTTGAGTTACTGTTATTGTTGGTTACAAGACACTTGTGACCCACACATTTTAGTCCCTTAAATCTTGAATCATAATGGAGCTGATTAAGTATAGTGCCTGCTTTTTAATAGATTTCAGTATCAATGTAAAGATGATTTACTGGTGTGCCAAGTTTGTAGTTACAAGAACAGTCCTTTTTTTTCCCATTGCCCAGTTTTATCTTTGCCTCCTGTTCCACAGACAGCAGCAGAGCAGACTAGAAACCTCTAAGAAATCATTGAATCTTGTAAGACCACTGAGGTATAACATCATGTATTGATAAACTCCCACTGTTTCCAATAGAAAAATGTTAAATCTTATGTAAAAGGTTTGGGCTGTATTTCAATCAATTTCAATCAAAATAGATGATACATTAGAAAAACTCTTCTTTGGGATAGTAAAGATTTTTGGTAACTGGGAATCTTTAAAGCCAGTTTTGACTAACCTTTGACTGCACTACTAATGTATTTTTGGGTGAAAGCTGTTTCATATATTATTCCAAGGCACTCATCAGTTTTGTCAGCTATAAATATACTATACAAAACATAAATACTTGTCTTTATGTGCCATATTTATATATTGGGATTGTGTAAAAGGCAGAAATGCTGCGTGTACAAAATGAAGCACCTAACGTGAAATATTAAGAAATTTGTTTTGTGGTGGGGATAAACCTAATTAAGCTTGTGAGACAAGACTTCTAATAAGGTAGAGATAATGCTTGTGTTTCTGTGCTGTTTCTGCTGTTTGGATGCAGATTTTCCCATCTGGTGGAGTAAACAAATG